TCAATTCCCGGAGGATAGAAAATGTATTGTTTTGGTACCCCATAATGGCCGCTGTGACGTCACGTGAAAACGCTCTATATCTACTTTTTGCTCTGTTCCAAACGTTTGGGGGTACATGTGACCTCACATCCGCTATGTTGGTTGACTTGAGCAAAAGCTGTACTGCGAAAATACAAGAACAATTGCTCTGCTTGTAGTACCTGTGGCAAAGCTCTAAATATGTTATTTGGCAAATAAAATAATTTAAAATTTAATTTAACTTGGATGAAAATTGGAAGAGACTTGAAACTTGGTTAAACATGCCCCCAATAGTAGCCAAGCAACATATTTTCTTCACAGTAAAAAGTGGCAGATAGAAATTATCAATTTTATTCAGCATCTAAATTGTGAGTAAATGACGTCATTTAATTGACCCTTTTTTTTTTTTCGCTTTTACAGTAAACCAAAATTTCTCAACTGCAAATGGCTCCCAGGCTATAAATRTTCAATAATCTGGTTTTGATTAAGGTAATTGAGTCATATTATCCTCRAAATTCAAAAATCATTTACGTCGATTGAATTTGACCCCCTCCCCCATGTTTTGCTACCTACCTCGACAACCTGGGTAGTCTTCACAGTCAAACCACCTCCAACGTAAACAAGTAGAGGTCATTAATGACTTTATTTTTGGATTCTTGATTTCATTTTTCGATTCAAAAATTCATTATTGAACAAAATGAATCTTCAATATTTAAMAAATAATAGTTTGAAAATCTGATTAACTTGACTCAACCTCTTGTTTATAGCGGAAACAGAAGGTAAGTCACAAAAAATTTGCTTTTGCATTTCAGTTGCGTGTATATGCTTTGCTTTGTGTATATGCTAGGCTTTGAAGATTCGTTTTTAATAATGAATTTTCGAATCGAATAATGACATCAAGAATCCAAAAATAAAGTCATTAATGACCTCTACGTGTTTACGCTTGAGGTGGTTTGACTGTAATCAGCGGAAGGAAACAACAGTAGTCTGGCTTCACGTGGGGTGACCTGATGACCTCACGGGCTCCCTGTGTCGTTAGAGATCTAATATATTGACCACACRCTGATAACACGATGTGGGTGAAAAATGCTCAGTAGAATAACACTGTTTCTCACACAGGTGGTCCTATACTTTTGATGRTCTACCAGTATTCGAAATGATTCAAAATTATGATATGAAGTGTGAATCGCATACCAGTTTGCAGAATATTCATGCTTGTGATCAAACATATATCAGTGCTTGATAGCTAGTAAATTACTAGCTAGTATAGTGAAACTTTCCGGGTTAAAAAATATCATTTAAAAAGGAACTTTTACTTTACTTTGCACCTGAACTTGCGTCAAGAGAAAAGCGTTCAAGTCTTCCTTATCTCGGAACGCTCTCGCACAGAACTTGACTTTCATCTGATTCAAATCGGCTAGATGCCTTGAGGCTGTCCGCACCAAGACCCGCGTGTGTGAAGGATGAATTGCGCTATCCGACGGATAAATCCTTATCCAGTGGATAAAGTGATGCCGGCTGTTATCCATTACATTTATCAACTGGGTAAGACTTATCCGTCGGATAGCGCTATCCATCATTCGCAAGGCATCATCCGCCCTTCGTACAAGGAGCGCATAAGGCTCAGATTCGTATCGGTGTATAATAGATGTAGCCCAGGGGGTGACTCCGGGATAACTGAGTATCGGGTATGCTCGTCGTATATCTCAGGGGTAAAAATCAGCGAATTTGT